CCCTGAGGCAGCCGCAGGCGCCCGCTCGGCCCCCGCGCCCAGCGATGGCAGCACGGGGAGGACACACAGAAAAAGCTGCGCAAACAACGTACACATGCCCGTGGTCTGCGCACAAAGGAAGAACAGGTGGGGTTTAATTGAGGGCAGTAATTTCCCAAATGGAAAATTCAACCAACAAATTCAATCCTCACTTCAGTCTTTCACCTCTTCACACACGACCCAGGTTTCTCCTGGTCTGGCTGAGGCACCAGCCCGCAGCCACGAGGGAGAAACGCAGGCAAAAAGGGCCACATGCCCTTGAAATGAAATGTCTTGTAAAAGACCTTCCGAACCCACAGCTGGATGGAGGCTGTTCACATTACCACACATACACAAACTTTTTTGTCTTCAGTCTAAACACAAAACACGAGTTCAGTTTGAGTTAACCAGATTTGAACTGCCCATGTTCAGGCGCTTCCGGAGGAGTGTTTGATACACAAAGCGCCAGTGAAATCCAGGGCTTTGCAGCCAATTTCTGCACTTTATATCTGCAGTGTAATTTCTGCTCAGTATAATAACAGCTTCTCTCATGTCAGTGTGGTCAGCGTTGTACTGTGCTCCTCTACATTGTTTTGCAGATGTAAAACAATGCTTAATTCAAACTTAAAACCAATTCCTTTTCCTCCAAATAAAAAAGGCAAAAATAAAACTGGAAGAAAGCAACACTTGTTTGGAAGGGCAGAAATGAGTCCTTTTTATTATAATCAGAAACGTGTCTCTTCTTTCCTTAAACAAAGGAGAAGGGCTGAAGTGTCACTCAGCTTTAGGAGTCACCATTTCTGCCCGAGCTCCACACAGGGAGTCAGCAGCGCCGGCTCTCAGCCCACTTCTGGAACCAATATCCACCTGTTCAGCCCCGCGAACGCTCAAGAGATGCAGTCACCTCTACCTGTAGCCTAGAGGTATTAATAAGCACCTGCCACGCTCCGCCCTGCCTTACCTAACTACATGGCTGCAGGTTGCAACACGGCCCCGTGCTTGAGCTCCGGGAACAGGCAGAGCCGCCGCCGGCCTCTCTACGCACCCCAGCTCCGCTCTCAGCGACGGCTCTTGGGGATCCTCGGGAGTCCTCGTTTCAGTCCAACGCTGCCAGCGCCCCTCGGGCGCGGGCGGCGGAGGGGAACGAAGCTGCTACAAGGGGTGGAGAGGGCTGAAAGGCCAAGCTCAGCTGCTTGAGAAATGCCTCACGCGAGGCTTTAACGAAAGGGGCTTTATAAACGCATCGGGCACAGGCAGAGCCTACAAGACACGCACGAGGAGTCCTGTGGTACTTCACATTGCCATGTCTTTTCTTTATTACAATGTTTATCACACAACACACACAACTACAGTAATTAAACAAACAACAAAAACCTGTTCCTTAGCCCAAGGGTCTGCTCTACCCGAGAAAACTGAAAAATTCCATGTCAACTCTATTTTATTTAAACTAGATTTATTCAGTGGATCCCAAGTTCATTAAAAATTGCTCTAAATTTAGTTTAAGATTCAAATCTGCCACTCTTAGAACAAGGCAGAGTTGCCTTTTAGATAAATCTTTGCTATGAACTGTTTGTAAAGAGAAGCTTTTGCAATTCATACTTAAGATACTGGAAACCTATTTGGGAATGAGAAAATAGAAGAAAAATACTGTTCAACTAAAATAAAGGATGGCTACGATTACCAGTGTGCACAAAGTGACTTAAGGGACATCCGAGAACATTACCGTTATTAATGAATTATGGAGCTTAAATCACAATGTGAAGCCTAAATACCAAGAATGAGTTCTGAATTTCATTTTTCAAATTGTTCTTGAACAAAACTCATTGCAGAAGTATCTTTTGCTGGGTACAACCTGTTTGTGAGCCGCGGGCAGCAGGAAACAGGTAAATAGCCCTATCTACAGTAAGCCAACTTCCCGTGCCTTTAGCAGCATACCTATCTCTGTCATTCATGTACCAAAAAAACAACTTGGGCTTTGCATTGTAAAGAACTTCAGCTTTGAGACCACGTGTTCTCATACAGCACCGCAACCTCTTTTAGAAAAAGAGGCAGGCTCTAATTGTAACTTCATTCAGGCTGTTATACTAATATTTAATATATCAACACAGATGCAAACATAGATAATTTTAGATTATACTCATTATCAGAAATAAATATTTGCTTAAGGCCCTGCCAAACATCTATGATTTGTTCTCATGCAGACAACTTGGGTTGAAAAAGTCAGAACTGACTCCTTTAAAAGGAGATTTCACTCAGAAGGAAAACCCCTGCCACGAGGATGGGAAACGCGCGCGGTGCTTCGTGTGTTGGGGACGCTCTGATGTTGCCCCCAGCAGACCAGTGCCTGAGCGTGGTCCGGGGTGGCCAGGCCTGGCCCACCTGGGAACCTGCAAGGCACCGGGTGAGGAGCATGACGACCCATCCGCAAAGCCTCTGAAGCTGCTTCCAAAGGTGCCCAAAGCCACTCGCGACGCTCAGCGCTGACCCCGCATGCCGGGCCCTGTACATGCACGCTGCATAGCTGCCGAACAAACGAGCACCTTCAAATCCACAGCTAGGGAGGACGGTGCCTGTCTGGTTGCAGTCTCAGTTCAGTCTCTCACTACGTAATGAATCAAGAGAGTCTTTAATTATATGATCACGTGT